GTTTCAAGGTTGAGAATGGAATGTTCCACGCTAGCCATTTTTTCCAGCCTTCTCTGAGGAGGCTACAGAGCAAGACTGACTACATACAACCTTCCAAACTTTAAACCCCACTTCTCTGAAACCAAATCTCAGCCAGAGACGAGGCCACTGCACTTCATGTTGTCCAGGCACCTGAGAAAGCAGGGTAAAGTTAAGGCTGTTGCTTGCAATTCGGGGGCGTATAGTGCTAGACAGCCTTCTCACAGAAGGCCAGGGACATGCAGTGTAGGACAGCCTTCTTAGAGAAGGCTAGACATGGCCATGCCAAGTTATTCTGCAGACTGTATACATCCTTTCCAGCATATGATATCATATAACTAAACATATTATTATGTTATACAGTCACATATATATATATATATCTCAAGACAATATGTATATACACATGTATAGGCATGTATTTGTTATAGGGTTTATTGATGCAAAGAGTGAGGACAGTTCGGGTCCCGGACACATGGGCTTGAAGCGGCGAATCCTGCCAACATGAGGAAAGCAGAATTTGCAGAATCAAAGCATGGAAAAAATCACGTCTGCTTAAGTTGAAGCGTGCTGAAAGGTCGCTGCTATTTTTAGCACCACTGGACTGCTGGAAGATGCAGTTAGATTCTTTGGCCTTCTTCCAGGAGACCATGATTTTTACCCAGTATAATTAATTGCAATTACTTTTTAGTATTTAGAACTTTCTAGCCAAACCCATATTCTTAGGTCTCCTGCTGGAAGCGTTGGCGCTTTGCGGCCGTAGACGGCTCCTGGCCCACCCACCTCCCCTCCTCGCGGAGCGAAACTATGCGCTGCTCCAACCAGGCCTTCCTTTTCAGGCCCTTATTATTCTTCTTCCGCTTCTTGCCGCTGGCCCCTGCACTCTCGGCCACGATGTTCTCGGCAACGATCTCCACGACCTCGTCCTCCGGCTTCTTGTCCTGCTCGGCATCTGGAGTCTCCTGCGTCTAGCCATCTAAGAAGTCGGGCTGATCTGTCTCCACCTTCTCCGCCTTCTGTCCAAGGAGACAGTGGCGGCTGCTTCATCCATATCGACTCTGGCTGGGAGGCAGCGCTGCCGGCCTTTTCTGCACACTCCGAAGCAACGTCCATTGGCGACGCTGGAGCTTCTGTGCCTTTGCCGCCTTCCATGTCTTCGACGCCACGCTTCTTTGGCATCCTCTTAACCATCGCCTTCTTCTTTGCGCCTTGTCGAGTCGCGAGTTGATGACTTTTGCCATTCACTTCACGTCCACTGCCTGTTCCTGCCATGCTGCCACACCTCAAAAGTATGCCCTGCGTACGCTCTTGAACACAACAGCTGCTGGAAAGAAAGCTTGCGCAAGCCCACGCGCCGTGCCAGCACAGACAAGAAAACAGCAGCAACACAGCAAGAGGAAGGTAGACAACCTTTTTGCACCTCCTACCAAGAAGACTCCTAGCTGCAAAGGTGGGCCGTCAGTCTCTGCAAGGTCGTCTCTGAATCCAGCTTCCTCACAGATTGCCGAGATCTCCTCTTGCAAAAACAAGACATGTCCTTGGCCTGCTCCCATGCAAGCCATTCACTGCCACGGCTGAGAACCAGGGCGTCGTAACAGTCAATGATCTTCTGGATGTAAGGCACCCGGCGGCCCACGAGGTCCAGCGCGAAGTTAAGAATGGTCTGCACAGCGCATCTCATTCTCGAACTTCTGCTTGAGAAGAGCCTGTCTCTCTCCTCGCGTCAGCTCCCTATCCGCTGCCATCTTCTACTTAATGACTATATATCTTCGATCTATGAGCGAAAAAAAAAAAACTGCGTCCATCAAAACAAGTGATTTGAAGCGGCTCCAAGAATGCACTCGCTAACACACACCACTTCGGGCGGCAAGGAACTTCCAGACAGAGGTCTCCAACCTGTGGCTCAGCCAGGCCAGCAAGACTTCAACAGCCTGTAGAGGACGCTGCACAGCTTGCCTTCTCTGGAGGAGCGCCGCTACAAGAAGATGTACTACAGCGCACCGGCAAGGCCGCCAACAAGAGGAGCAGCTGTACAGCATCTGCGACAAGATCATCGACCTCTCCAAGAAGTTCGAGGTGAAGGCGACTATTGGACGCGGAGATGGAGTAGCTGCATGTTAAGTGGTGTCTAGCTCCGTGAGGATCGACCAAATTGCGTGAGAAGACTAGGACCCTGAATATGCGGCGTATATGCATCAAGCAGGCATGCGTGCGTCTGATATCTTGCAATTCTGTTGCTGGAAGAAGGCGGGGCGGGCAAAAAATGTGAGCGGATCACGCAGAAACCATTTGTTTCCAAGCGCAGAGTCCAAGAGGTCTGCTCAGCACCCTTTCAGACACACGTACTCTCAATGCTGGAGTTCCAGAAAGACGCCTCCACTGCTGCGATCTGACCTTTGCAGCCTCTTGAGAAGGCTGCAGAGACTTCCTTCTTGGCGGTTTGCTTCTCGGTGCCTTTCTCTCCGAGGGTTCACGACACAAAACGCAAATCACGCTAAAAACAAAGCATGTGTTTTATAGGCCAAATTATGGTTGTTTATCAAAAATCTACAATGCTTAATTAAGCAGAGTTTACCTTGCTTAATTAAGCAGAATCTGCTTTCTTTAAGCAGAGGAAAAAGCGCTTAATCGTGATTAAGCGCTTCGGATTTTCTAGGTAGCTCCCGGGACACAACTCTCACGCGGAGAGGGAGTTTAGAGGACGCCGCAGCCTTCCGCAAGGACAGGAACAGGGTTGCTCTGAGTCACTAAAGAGAAAGCGAAAATGGAAAGACAGAAGGGCTTGAAGCCTGCAGCCTTCAAGCCCTCCTTTAGGCTACCCAAGGAAAAAAGAAGTGCTTACAATGCTGCTTGTTAAGTCTTGGACAGGAGCAATGCAACCTCACACAAACCTCGCTTCCGTAAAGTGGGTATTGCTGGGTCAACTGTTATGGACCTTACTTATGATGTATTTTTTATAATATAAGCCCTTGTTTTGTTTTCAGGGCCGTTAAATCTATTCCAATCAAGCCGAAAACTAAAATGCTGTCGGTTTTTGCTGGCGACCGTTGCGTAGTGGGTGCTTTTCAAAAAATGTCCTTCGTACCGCGCATCATGGAAACCTCTCCAAGAGCCTCATGGTCCCTGTACATGCAATACGTCTGGTACGGCCCCCAGGGCGAATTGTGAAAGAAGAGAAGAGGGCCTGGCAGCCTTTTTCGCTTGGATAAGGTCAGAGCTCTCTTGGTGAAGTTCTTGGTTTTCAGATGCAGATGCAGAAGGGAAGAAGAAGAACGCAGAGTCAATGTGCATCGCATGGTTGGAGCTGGAGAAGGGCGAGTCAGTTGACAAGCCCGCAGGACAAAGGCCACCCCCCAAACGGCCCGCACTTTTTTGAGAAACATGCAGAAGTGTGTGCACCGCCAAGTATCTCCAAGCATACTGGTCATAGAAGCTACCTTGCAGACCGACTGCTGACAATAGTCGGCCCAGAGTTGAAGGCTGTGGAGGGTTTGTGGAAGGTTCGCGTGAAAGTCCCACTTGTGTGAAACTTTCTTGATCAAAAGCAGGACTGTGCAGGCTCAACGCGCTTCCGATTTCGTATTGCCTGTGTGCAACAGCACGTGAGACGTTCTCCGATTCGTCTTCGAGTTCCGGAGTTTGAAAGTAAGAAGGAAAATTAAACAGGGCGCAAGCTGATCAGAAGTGTGATGTTTCGGCCGAGGGCCTCCAACCAGCAACAGCGTGGCCGTTGGGAGTGTATGGATGAACATTGATGACGTGTGCTTGCCTTATGACATATGCCTGATACATGCAGGCATTCCTCAAAGTGCGTTGCTCCCTGACATGAATTCGATCACGCAACAACACTTGACCTGCAGGCGTAGGGCCAGGAGCAAAACCGGACGACCAAGCAGTTCATGCAGAAACCGCAGTTCCCAACTGGCGTCGAGTCGGTTGATGTCGACCTAACGCATTCAAAGCGATTGGATAATTTACGATTTGCAGCAAGTGACCGACAAGGTGTGAGAGAAGATCTCAAACGGCACATTCCGCGGCATGTTTGGCCGCACCATACACTAGACTGTGCTTTGATGATGCAGTTTTTGCTGGCTGCTCGGGCTTACACGGCTTGATTTGCAAGCGCGGGGTTTGTTTGTCAGCGATGTGGGAAATAGTACTGCCAAAAAAAGCAGCGGGTGCCTACCAATCTTCTGAGAGTAGACGCTTGTACGAGGAAAGTTGCGCTTTTACGCTGAATGAGGCCCCCCTCTGACACGAACTTTGGGGGATTGGTGCGCACTTTGCTTCTTAAAGATGTGCCGATCCGCGTGTGCCACGTTCTAGCCATCTGCGATCGTGAAGCCAAGTAAGAGCCTTATGCTTGCGGGTTCAGGGAGCTTGAGAAACGGTGTATGACCCTTGTGCAAGCTACAAGAAAAAACAATTCATTCCAAGGTTCCTGAAGCAGAACTACAAGCATTAGCGTGCGCTGACAATAGTGCACTAGTCCTTTGCCTGAGAACAAACGTCTGCGAAAGTTACAGGGTTTGGGTTGCTGAGTGCAAATTTGTGCTTGTATTACATGGAGGTTTCCCATACTCTGTTGGGGTCCTCAAAATGAGGATGATGGAATCTGGGGTTCAAATTTGTATCGGGGTTATTGGGGTCACCTCTTTCTGGAAACTACCATGCAAGGAGAAGGATCTCGGAGCCCCGTGCCAGGTCTCGGCTGCGCCGACTGCAGGTGGTGACCCACATGCTTTTACCAAAAAACTTTGACTCTGAAAACTATCTATGCACTTTTTCCAACAGTGCCGAGGCAATGAGAGGCATTGAACAGGTTTCGTTTGCGAGACAGTCTGGATGATGGGTGTGTCCACAGAAGCAAGCCTGGTGATGCAATACTATCAGCAAGGCAAGAAGCACACTGTCTAGTGATCGTGTCGTTTTTGGTTTTTGCTAGTGCTAGCAATGCTGGCAAAGAGAGTTAGTTGTTTGGTATGGCACTGGCTAAACGTTTGGAGGCTGGAAACCCTGTCGACTCCAGCAATTCCGCAAAGCTGGGACCTTGGCAAATCCAGCCAGCTTCGGGGCTTGACTTGGATGGCTCAAAGCTGCTTCAGAGTTCAAGGTCTAGTGTGTAAAGCGGAAGGTCTTCACCTGTTCAGCCACGCTGTCCGCTATCTTCAGTGGCGCGTAGAGGGTCTTGCTAAGGGCGACGCAGAGTCTCTGCAGCAGAATTGTAGATTGAGTATGGAAGCTGCCTTTGTGTGCCATCAGTAACACAGGGTAGCCGGAGGACAGACTAGTTTGACTTGACATCAGGAGGTGTCCCCGCTTTGGATCGGCCCACAGGGGCTCCGCATCTTAAGGTATTGACGCGATTGACCATGCATTTGCCATGGACGGCTGGCGAGGATAGGGCTGCTGAGCTGCACTGACATGTAGACCCTCAAAAACGTACATGGGGCAACCACGCGCTGCTTTCCTGACAAAGTTTGTAAATTGAGGCAAAGGTGGCCAGTCAAAGAAGCTGCGCAACTGCGGCTATTGGCTTGTAACCTGTGGAGACATGCAAATCTGCAACATGTCACCAATCAAGTTCACAGGGCAGTCATCTGGGACGGCAATGGAGGGGGGATGCCCCGGGCTCTGAAATAGACAGTGCAAACACCAGGCTGAATGCCAAAGGTTGGATTTGTTTGACGGCTTGTTGTTGGAGTGCAGTTTTGCGAAGCTTGATACCAATTCTGGCCATGGGAGTCCTTGGCTTCCAGATTACGAGTCGTGCACAGGGAACCCGCCGGGAAGGGGTGGAACACCTGCATGTCCTTGCTTGCACCTCAGGCTGCCTGCCCGTGTCGACGCAGAGGAGGAGACCAGAATGGCAGAGCCCCTCTGCTCTCCAGACAGGGCTCTCTTTGAAATATTTTGCTAAAGGAGGAAGAAGGCTTGTTTTGGGTTTTCTGATAAGCTTGAACCACAGCTATGTAGGTTGTTCTAGGCCTAGAGGATGGACTTCTAGTTTTTTGCGCAAGTGTCTTACTCTTGTAGGCAATCCGGTCGCTATTGTACGGATTGCCACGTAAACTCCAACAAATAATGCGCCTTAGCCTGTCCCGCCTATAGCACCCCCCACCTTATCACTATTTCTCACTAGTGGTGTAGTAAGGGAGGCTGAGAGACAAATGAACAAAGTCCGTAACTTGGTGAATGCCATGCTAGAAGGAACAGTCATCCTTGCAGTCCGCAGCTATGCCATCTCAATATCACCAATTACGACCATCTTTAGTTAAGAGCCCTCAGCAATGGATATTTGAAAAACTCCCCAAAGGACGGCACCGCGCATGAGTGCCTGGCACATGCAATCCTGCAGCTGGTGGCTGGGACGCTCAAAGCTTCAGGATTGCAGCATCAGAGTTTTACGAATTTCCTTGAGGGCGCGGTGGTGGTAACGTGGTATCGGCGGAGGTGTGGTAGTAGCGGTTCGGCTGCAGCCGCTTCAGTGGGTCTCTGAGGTTGTGTTGACCCTTGACTAGGGGCCAACTTTCTTGGGAACCTTGGGGTGGAATTCCATGAAGCATGTGGTGGACACGCAAGATAGTCAGACGGAGCAGTTGTGGTTTGCAAAGCTGCAGCATGCACATTCTTTTCGTTGGTTGCTGGGGCAGGGCGAGTCGAGCCATCTTTCGATGAGCCGCCCTCCTAACCTCGGGTATCTGGGTTGCTGTTAGGGAACTTATAATGGGTATATATAGTAAATAATAGGGTTTCCCCAATATAGTAACTTAATTTAAGTTCCTTAACAACAACCCAGGTATTAGATCTTAGATGCGCTGTTCTGGCTATAGCTGATGGGACCAGCGCTTTTCAAGTGTTTGCCTCTTAACTGGCCGCAGCGGAAGTAGACACTCGAGTAAAGTTCACGTGCGCGCCAGATGTTTGCAACATGTGAGGTTCAAAACTTGAAGGGCGCTTTTTTGGATAGCTCTTTTGAGAACCCCTTGTTGGAGGCATTTTGGAGACTAAGTTCAGGTGCACAGCACACTCTACTCCAGAAATCTGCATCCCTAAACCCCGAGATCTGTGCTCTTGCAAAGCTGGCCAAAGGCTGCTACAGGCAGAAATTCCGAAGCTCGGCTGGCTAGGTTAAGCAGTTCCCAGATCCCCCCATAGGGCCCCGCAGTAGGCTCAAGTTTTAGACTGATCCCCTAAAACTTGCCCCCCCCCAAACCCTAAACCGCCCAGTCGATCACTGCTCAGGCTGCTGCCATTCAGATGCAGGGGAAAAAGGCAGCTTGCTGAGTGACGTTTGCTCCAGTCAGACCTCAGAAGTGGGATGTTCTAGGGTTTAGGGTTTGGGGTTGCTTGGTTCCATAAGTCATACTAGGGATCCGGATCATCCATAGTATAGTCAGCAATTGAAGTGTATTGGGCGTTCTGAGTGCACAGCAGCCAGGATGCCTGCATGAAGGCTCGAGCCTTTCGAGTGCATCATAGATGGTAGGCAGCCTAGCAGCAGCTTTAAGCAAATTAGGGGCTCAGGGGTTCGCCCGGCATTCTCAATCTTGATTCCGGAGCCCTAAGCCCCAAAACCTCAACCGTGCGCCCTGAGGCATAGCTACTATTTTCCGGCGCCTGTGATCGCCTGTGCAGGCAAGGATCCCAAGCCAATCTGGTTTAGGGTTTAGGTTTTAAGGGTTTAGGGGTTTAGGGTTTGGGACTTAAGGCTTTGGGTTTAGGTTGGTGTAGGGTCGATCCTGCGCCAGGTAGAAGGTTGTAGGGTTAAGTTTCGGGGGGGGTGGGGGCATGTCAGAAGTAGGACGAAACTGTAGCTTCGGCACTGCACTGCAGACATGAGCTGGCCCTTGAAGCGCGTGGTTTTGCAACATCAGCCATTTCGGTTTAATCTGAGAGTTGTTAGCCAAATAGGACGACCTGTGAGCAGTAGCAATGGCAAGCTTTGCGGTTCTCCTGCTGCTCTTCGGGCATTGCCAGTCCTACCGCATAACAGACAGCAGTGTGGTGGAAGCCAGCTCTGAAGAACAAGCCTGCGATGTGAACACGTGCGTCACATTTCAGGATGCTACCAGTGAATGCTCTTGCAAGGCTTTCGTGACGGATCCAGTGTTGCTAGAGCGCTCTGAAAAGACTCTCTACGGAATCGTTCAAGCCTCGAGGTACCTGACTGATCAGCAAGCAGAGTCTCCGGGCTTCATCCGCTCCTTGTACCCGGTGAGGGTCTTCAGGCAGATGAAGCATGCATCTCTCTTGAGTTCCACCATGAAGGAGTTCGAGTTCTTGCAGAGCGCCATGGATGTTCTGGAAGGTGTCGATGACTTGGCGGACGAATCCGTGAGCAACCTCACGGGCGATTTCAAAGCGCCGGCGGGCGCATTTCCCATCATGGTGGCTCACGGCTCACTCATCATTGGGATTGTTGCAGGATTAAACTGTACGCCCAGAACTGAACCTAAGCCCGAAACCACGATCCATTCCTCCGTTCGCCAGAGAGCAGCATTAATCATGGGGTGCTGTGGAGGTGTAAGCATGGGGGTGTGAAAGGGACCGTTTCTCCTTCTGTGGTTTGATTCAGCCCTATTCAAGCGTCAATTGAGCAACATATAGCCCCCTACACCGAAAACCCAATACTCTCAACCCTCAACCCTAAAGCCGTATCAATTCCTAAACCCTCTACGACCGAATTGTTTAACCTTAAAACCTAAACCCTCGATCCTAAACCTTAAACCCTATGCCCAACAGTAAGGTGGAAGTTTGGGACAGCGACGTGACCAGATCTCAGTTCATCGGAGAGGTGGGGGTTGGCTTGTCCTTGGGAGAGCAAAGCCACTGGCCAGTCGCAGTGAGTTTAGGGGTCCCTTAGAAGCGGTTCTAGGATTTAGGGTTTAGGGTGAGGGGTTTACGGTTTAGGGTTTAGGGTTTAGGGTTAGGGTTTAGGGTTTCGGGTTTAGGTTTAGGGTTATAAGGGTCGCTTGGAAGGGTTTTAGTGGATATGTAGGGGTTATATGGGTCCTGGCGTACTGTGCAGCTGAGGCTACACCTTGCCGCTACGCCCCAACAAGAATTGCGGTACGAAAAGCTTGAAGAAGGCCAAGAAGGGATCCATCGGCACAGTCACCTTCACCACCAAGGTTACTGGGGGTTAGGTATGGGAATAGCTTATATAGGGATTCTATAGGGATGCTATAGGGATTCTATAGGGATTCTTTTGGGATTCTATAGGGATTCTATAGGGATTCTGTCGGGATTATATGGGGATTATATTCCCATATTCCTTGTTAACCACCAGTGAGACAAAGGTTGAGATGGGTGCAAAAGAGCTGTGCAATCCGGGCAAGACGGAGGAATGCGCTCAGGTCTCTGTGACAGTGTCCTGTGACAGAGCTTCAGGCCTGCCATCGATGGACCAGTTCCTGGGTTGCTGTTAAGGAAGCTGCTAAGGAACTTAATTTTACTTAAATTACTTCAATAAGCAAACCCTTTTATTGACTACATACCCATAGAATGGTAACTTAACCCCTAAACCCTATATACCCATATTACTATATTTTGTGGGAACTGAGTTTAAGTTCCTTAAGACCAACCCAGGTTCTCAAAGTCAGATCCCTACTGCAAGGTTCGGGTGAAATCTTCGGATACAAAGCCTTCGACTCACTTTAAGACCAAAGCCATCGACAACACCGCAAACCCCGACTGGACCAGCATCTGGGTTGCTGTTCAGGGACTTAATTTAAGTTACCATAGTGGGTATATGTATATATATATACAGTAAATAAAAGGGTTTCCCAATATTGTAAATAATGTGGTTTCCCCAATATTGTAATTCATAGGGTTTCCCCAATGTAGTAACTTAAGCTAAGTTCCTTCACAGCAACCCAGGCATGGAGCACAGCTTCACTACCTCCTTCTTGGTGCTGGTAGATGAGGATTGCAAGGAATATACTTGTCATCCAAGAGCATATCAAGGATCCTAGTGCTCTTAAAAAAGGGTCATCCTTAGGGAAGATACGAATTACCCTCACTCCTATCAGGGATCCATTTTGTAATATAGGGTATATATTCTATACATCAAGGTGTGGTCTCTGATCAGGACAAGCCCTGGAGCATTGACTACATGAGCCTGACGGGGCATTTCACGGCCAACACCAGGCTAATGGCTAAGATGCTGGTGCTCGATGGGAAGGAGTGCCCCGACGTCGAGCCGAAATCCAAAAGGCAACTTGGTGGGTATCTTTATTGAGTATTGAGTGATCTTAGGGTTATATTGGGGTTGTATGGGGATAATGGAAACGAAAATTGAAAGTATTATAATGGGGTTATATAGGGTTTTAACTGCCATTTGGATTTTGTATGTGAAGATGCATCCGGACACAGATGGAAGAAGAGTTTTCTTGTGCAAGAAGTACTTCGATAACTGAACCCTATATAGATGAACAACGATCTTTTCTTAAGGCCTCAATCACATCCAAGTCCCTAAACCCTAAAGCCTTAAACCCTAAACCCTAAAGCACTAAATCCAAAACAACGTCCAAGGCAACAGCAGGTATGTGACTTGCTCTGGGCTCCCACAACATCCATCGACCCCGCTACGCTTCAGGCAGCAGCTGTCCATCAACCTCCAACCCTAAGCCCGAAGCCCCAAACCCTAAGCCCGAACCCCTAAGCCCAAACCCTGAACCCTAAACCCTAAATGAGTCTAGCCTGGGACCGTTTTGTAAGACATCTCCAGGGACCTTCGGGCGATGGAGAAAAGGTCCGCCAAAAAACAAAAACCCGCAAATACTGAAATTAGCCACGCTTCAGGAAGCTGCAGGGTCGTTGAGCGATGCGGATGCCCAGGTTGGGGGAGTCCGAAAAAGACTAAGGGCACGGTTTGGGATTTTTAGATTTACAGGGCTTAGGATGAACAGGGTTGAGGATTGGCAGGGTGAGTTTAGGGTTGATAGAGTTGAGGGTGTATGGAGTTTGGGGTTGATTGGGCTCAAGGGTTACGTTTACGGGGTTGAGGGTTTGGGATCTATAGCAATAGGGTTTAGGGTTATAGTGTTTGGGACTTAGTGGTTTGTATGGTGTAGGATCCAACAGTTGACAAGATCAGGCCTGTGTATACCCTCACCATGATACTGTACCCCCAGCACACCATAATCCCTAAAGTACAGGAAGCTCCCCAACAAGCTCTGGGCAACCACCAAGGTCTTGACCAAGATGGCTGAGGATGCCAAGGACAATGACGATGCTGGCGATACCAGTGGTGACTTGCTAATGGGGAGTGGGGTGGAGGGTGTGGATCTTTATTCTGCCGATGCAATCCCCCTAGTACCTATGATCAATCCCGTGAAGCCCCAAACCCTTAACCCATATCCCTTGTAGGACTGTAGTACCCATGTCACAGCTAGCTCTTTTGGAGCTTGCGGTGGTTCTTACTAAATGCACTGTGATATACTATAATATACTATTACATATCATGAGTATATTATCGCATAGGGGTATTATAGGGTGCAGATTCTCTAGTGTGTGGCTCCAGGTCAATTTTCAAGTTAATCCCCTCTGGTACCCTAGTACCTATGCTCACTACGCTTGAAACCCCGAACCCTAAAACCCTGGGTCTATAGTGTACCAATAAGGTGAAAGCAGCCTGGCCGAAATGGGCCTGGGAGACCCTCAGCTCCTGTTACTGGGGATTAGTAGGGAACCAGGGAATACATCGGCATGATTTAGGGATTTAATTCCATTATGTCCTACTAACCACCAGTAAGGTTTGCAGTTCAAACTTTGAGGTTTTTCGAAATTGAAGGTGTGTCTTCAAGGAAATTTTATTTGGTGGTTTTTGCAGCAACTCCCCTGGTTTGTACAAGTGTCTACACCATTCCCTCCCCCTCAACTCTACACAGGATTGTCCAGAAAATGTTTCCAAGGATGCTGACTCGCAGTACGCCCTCTTGGCACGCCCAGGCTGCGGTTGTTGCCACTATGCTCGTCATCGTAGGGTGCGGCGCCGCACCTACTACCACGGCCGCAGCTACTACAGTGGGCGCTCCTATTCCCGTCCGGGGTACTATTATCGTCGCAATCGCCGTGTGTACAACCAAGAGGATCCGGACCCCAAGAAAGGTGGGGGCGCCAGTGTGATCGCAGCGGCTCTTGGGTGGATCTTCAACGCCGTGTTACCTTTTCATGTTGTCTAGGGTTCAGGGTTTTGGGGAGAGTTACACTTTATGGCCAAGTCAACGCATCATATGACAAATGATCATGTCTAAAGATAGCTTCGGTTCTCGTCATGCATAATATCTCAAGAATATCTAAAGTTCTCATCATATTTTATAGTACCCGTGATATCTAATGTTTTCTCACGTCCTGCACCCTAAGCGCCACAACCCCTAAACCCCTAAACCCTTAAACCCTTCAACCCCCTAAGCCCTTAACCCCTTGAATGCTAATCCCAAGGTTCTCATTCACGTCATTGGGTTCACCTTGCCATAAAAATTCAACGTACCCCAAACCTCTAAACCCTCAACCTGAGGTTCTCATCCTCTTGCTCATCTTCCTTTGAGCATTGCACACACAAGAAGGGTAGTGGCGGTCGCCACAAAGCCGGCCAACATCCCTGGTGCAAAAGAAGACATTCATACCATTCGGAGTTCAGGGTTTAGGGCTATTACTCATTTTGTGACGAGTAGTGTTTTAATAACAGTTATTGTTTCTATTCAAGTTGTTCTTAAAACCATGATTAGTCAGTATCATGATTTTTTGGTGTACCGATAATGCTAGGTGTTGTTCGCATTATTTCATTTTTTTTTCGAATTGGGGTTCTCTTGATGAGCACCCATCTGCAAACTTGGTATTTGAGGCGTGGAAGGCTCCATGAAAACATTCGTGCTAAAGCCTTAAGCCCAAAACCCCAAATCCTAAACCTTACGAACCCTAAACACTATGCACCCCATGAACCCTCTGAACCCTATGAACCCTCTGAACCCTATGAACCCTCTGAACCCTATGAACCCCATGAACCCTCCTATGGACCATAGGAATTCTATGAAACTTTCTTCCCAAAGCTAACCCAGCCGCCAGGAGCTGCATCCATGTGGCCTCGTTTGTCGGAGCCCGAGCTCCAGTCTTCTGCAGATCGAGGTTCGGAAAGGCCTCCTACAGTCTCTTTGAAGTAGCATATGAACCCTACACCCTAAACCGATGCTATGTTCTAAAGCTTGTTACAACTCACCGTTAAGTATGACACTGGTGGTTTGCAATATACTTTCCTAGCTGCACATTGCATGTTGCGGGAGCAGGATCTCCTTACCAACTCACAAAATCACTATATGCGTTCCCTCCTCAAAGTTCTTTGAAAGTTCCGTACAAACCTAAACTTTCCTTAAGGAGACGTTTGTGATCTTCTACCAGCGTTCCTATATCCCAGGCCCCCATATGAGGCGAGCTTGACAAACATGTACTCATCTTTCGGGCTTCTTTTAGACAGAGAAGCCTCTTTTACAAACTGCATAGGGATCATTGGTGCCCTACTCGGGATCATGTAGGAAATATTTTGAGAAACTCCCAAAATCAGGCCCCTGGTCACCTAAAGTCAGGCAGGAAGCTTGACTTCGGCCCAGAACCGAAAAGGATTGCTTTGAGGATCCTACTGAGCCTTAAGCCCTGCACCCTAAACCCTAAGGACCCTAAACCCTAAATCTTCAACCCTAAATCCGAAGCCTTGCACCCTAAGCCCTAAAGGACCCTAACCTTAGCCCAGAACCCAGAAGGTACCCTTTGAGGTTTTTCAGGCAAGGAATTATGGATCATGTCAGATCCGAGTCTGAAAGGTTTCCAAAAATACTTGGGCCTGCTCAGTGGGATTTTGTGAGGCTAATGTAGGGTTTAGGGTTTAGGATTTAGGGTTTAGGGTTTAGGGTTCAGGGTTTAGAGTGTATTAACAGAATACTGGAGAAAGGCATGGAAAAGCACATGGCAAATAATTGGGAAACTGGGGTTATCTAATGGGTTCAGATGTTTCAGGTAATGTCATCTACAGTCCCGTAAATAGTTACAAATAATGACAACGCTCGCGTTAGCAAATAACAGTTGTGTTTCCCATCTGGGTTCAGGGGTATGTCTCTTCCAAACCCAGGCCCTAGGGACCCACAAAGCACAAAGTAGGTATGGCTTACAGACTTGAGGGTTTGCAGTAGGCATATTCTATCAACTTTACAAAGCCCAAAGTAGGTGCCATTCATAGTTTTTAGGGCCCAGAGAATTATTTACAGACTTTACCATTTACAGACTTTAGGGCCCAAAGTAGGTATTATTTTTGGATTGCAGAGCCCAAAGCAGGTGTTGTTCAAAGATTTAGATCCTCAAAACCCAAGGGCAATTCCCGTTTTTTGTCGTTGAATATTTCGAGCTCAAAGGAAGACGGGGTTGTCCAAATTGTTTTCTTTTTTCATGTCCCTAGTCGAGCACGGCCCCTGCATTGAAGGGTACACCAAAAAGGGAGCATTATTTTACAACCTTTTAAGTTGGAGTTGCTTGAAAGGGGTGCCCTAATAGAATATTACAATTATATGGCAATTTATTCAGGGATCATTGGTGGGCAGTACGAATGTTCTGCCTGTACGAGGAATTGGCAAGCTGCATGCTGCAGTAGCAGCATCGAACAAGTTTGAGAGCCCTAGTAGTTTCCATTTTATTTTCCATTATCCCAATATAGCCCCAATATAACCCCAAATATATCCCTATTGTTAATAACATGAGTCATTGGCAAAAGCACTTGCCGCAGGGATGGTTTGGACTGGTGCAGTTTCATTTCCCAGGTGCGTGACCTGGAGCCGGCTTGAGGGTGAAGGGCCAGGCGCTGGTGGTGCGAGTCTTCTGCTGCTTCAAGTGATCTTGCATTGTGGCAGACTTGAAGGCAGCATTTTTGAAGGTGTTGTGGCACCCGCTCAAAGCAGCCCACTCATCATCCGGAGAGCTACCCTCCTTGGAAAGGACACCTGAATCACGAACCGATGCATCCCCAGCAACACCTAAATAAAGGTCTTGAAACATGTGATGTGTGCACTGGCAGTCGTCTGAATTTTTCACTTGACAAACAAACAGAATAAGACAAGTAAGTGTATTGCTTAGGAAGTTGTGAGCCATGTCTGAACTTCAGCGGGCCAATGACGCCCAGTTGAAGGAATCCACGCAACCGACTGAGCAGGGCCGCTTCCTCCGTGCGGAGTTTGTGGCTTCACACCTGCTCCGTGGTGGGGGAGGATACTATTTGCAGAAATTGTGGGAAGACTCAAAAGTTCATCTGCTGAAGGAGCTCCATCTTCGGCTCCATGAGGGTTCTGAAGTCCAAAAGCTGCAACTCTGCACGGAAGAGGATTTGAAAGGTGTTCCGCCAGAGAGGATTGCGTGCGCCACCATGAAGCTGGAGCGTGGCGAGAAGGTCGTAGGCTTCAGGATGAACGCAGTGCAATCGCAGGCAGGATCCACAGTGTACTTCAACGTGCAAGTGGTTCTGGAGAGCGAGGATGGCGTCCGAGCAGAGCCTCTCTCGAGAGAACAGTTGCATAGTAAACATCCTGACTTTCCCGGCCGACAACTTTCTTTGGAGAGCAACGGATCTCCGAAGCTGGAAATCTGCGCATTGCGCTCCATGAGAGGGCAGCACCGTGACCACCTCGTGGGTCTTATCTTTCAATCTTGGCATGGCGTCGAGAGTGCGACAGGACAAAATGCCATGTACTGGATAGATTTGCTGGCATTGACAGGGGGACTGTACTACCTTGATGTGGTCACGGACGTCCAGCAGATTGCATTGTTTCTGGCAGAGGGCCAGTACGAGTACTTTGCCCTGAGTTGCCTTGGTGTTGCCATTCCGATGATTGCGACCGTCATCGATGCTGTAAGGTGGAGTGAGGGTTTGGTTGCACGTCCCCAGCGCGACGCATTCAGGCGAAGCCTTCCGTCAGCTTTTGCCAGACTAACCCTGATCTTTATGAGCGTCCTGACCCAGTGCCACATGATCCTCTTGGTGTTGGCTTCAATGCAGATGCGCATCAAGCACGATCTGTTGCTAGGAGCCAAACATGCGGAAGTGGCCGAAGCTGTCATCTCTGCAGGTCTTCAGACCAACTTCTGGTTTTTAATCATCGTCGGGATGGAATCTGTTTCTTCTGAAGACTTTCGGTCGTTGACCTTCTCCATTGGGATCTCTGTAGCATCCTTGGCATTTGGCTTCGCCGGCAGGGACAGAAACGATGCAAGAGTGTTGGGCGTTCCTGGCAAGTTAGGCTGGGAGCCCATCTTCATGGCCTTGTTCGTGGTCAGGGCTTTCGAAGTGACAAGCAGACTCTTGGCCCTGAACATGCTACACCTGGCGACCCGGACAAGCCTTCCTTTGGGTGGGCCGGTGGCAGTGGGTGTGTTGGTGGCATGGGCCTACTTCTGTTTCCCCGAGGCAGAGAAAGTACACGTCTTCGCAGCGGCGATCGCCCACCCTGGGCAAGTGTTGCTGGGCAATCGGTCCCGAATGCCCTTGCGCTTCTCCCTTGCTATGCACATCTTCCTCCAAGTGGCGGCCGTTGCACTTCAAGGGCTCGTGCTTTTCAGTGACACTTGGCTACCAGAGGCCAAAGAAGTACCATGGCTCATCATTGCAGCCTCAGTTGCTACCAGCATTTGCAGCAGTATCGGCCTATGCGCACTCGCACTCTATGGCAACAGCATGGAACACCCATTCTTGAAGATGGTGGCAGGCGGAAAGCGCCTGACATGCACAATGCTCGCCACAGCTGTGCAGCTTCCGCAAGCACCCACAGCAGTCTATGCGATGGCAAAGGAGCTTTGGCTGGACTCGGAAGCGCTCAAAGACCCAGAGATCCTTCAGAAGTTGGCATCGTCACAAGCGCGCGTCTGCATCGAGTCCACTGCCATGCGAAAGCTTGAGATGCTTCCTGATGATCGTTGGGAGCTGCTCAAGCATCTCGAGGTGATCAAGGTGAACTTCACAGAGTGCACCTTCGAGGAGGCAAACGCTGCAGGCAATAGCGAGGCGAGCGAGGGAAGTCAAAGACAAAACAGCAAACGAGCTGTTTCGAGATGGGACTCCCTGCGTTGGACCCAACTGGAAAGTGTGTGGTTTGGTCGCCGCGCCAACGCTGAGGCGCTGGACATGGTAGCACGATGCCATCAGTTGACAGACATCGCATTGGCAATGAACAAGATTTTGGTAACCGTGCCCTGGAAAGGTCTCCTGCAGGCTCGATGGAGCAAGTTGCGAAGTGCATCTTTTGTTGGGTGCTTCTCTAAGGATGAAAGCCACGGAGTCGCCGCAGAAGTGCTGAAGATTTTGGCAAGATGTTCTGAGCTGGAAGTACTGAATTTTGAGGGCAACAAGTTTCCCACGACGCAACAGTGGGATGAGCAATTTGCAAAGGGATGCTGGCCAAAGCTCCGGCGGGAGAAGTGCAATTTCCCCCTCAACGGCCCAAGCCAAGAGTACTGGCGGGAGCAAGCGACCCGTGCGACAGCCCAGCAAGACCCTGCAACCGCAGAGTCAAAGTCACCCCCCATGTCGGAAAACTCTGCCGGGTGCTTCTGCGTCCGCATGCCGGCTGAGACGGAGGGCGAGAAGTTCGCCAGATATCTCACTCACGTCGGGGAAGTACGAGGAGCCGCACAGATGGAGTCTTTGGCAGAGCGCCCGGACCTCGAAGTTGTCAGGATTGAAAACTCGAAGCTGCCGGCTTCTGCCTGCTTGCCGCTTGAAAGGGCCATTTGGCCGGAGCTCCGAGTGGCAAGTTTCCAGGGAAGTTTTATGAATGAGCTTGCAGGGGCCCACGCTGCCTTGGGCCTCCTCGCACGTTGCAAGCTGCTGGAAGAAATCGAACTCTCCTTTTGCGGCGGTATTCCCGCTGAGGCTTGGGAGCGCCTCTGGGGTGCCGAGTGGCCGTTGCTGAAGACAGCCAACTTCAACTGGACCTTCAAGGATGGTGCTCCGGGATGCAGCAAAGCTGCGATGGTGTTGGAAGTCTTGGGGAAGTGCAGCCGGTTGGTGGAGCTCAATTGGAGGGGCTGCGATGGCACTACAGTGCAAGATTTCAAGCACCTGCCCGACGGTTGCTGGCCTCTTCTGGAGAGCGTCGGAGGCATGGAAGGGCTGGAACGCCTTTGTCGGACCGAAGAACCAGCTGCAGACAGTACTGCCATCGCGCTGATGGAGAAGGAGACCCAAACAGAGCTGCAAAGACCAGAAGGAGAGATCGCGGACCATGAGGGTAATGTCACTGAACCAGAAGTTGCTACGCCAAAGCCAAAGAAAAAGAAGAAGCGCTGGGTCACGAAGACTAAGGCGAAAAGGCACAACCAGAATCCCCCTGCAAGTGAGGAAAACTTGCCAGCCTGACTGGGGAGACGCATTGGAAGGTTGGTGTATATCAGCGCTACTAGCGGGCGTGCGAGAAGAGATGCCCAAAGTGGTGGCTTTGCTGAAGGCAAGCTGCAGATGTTTCACACCAATGTCAAGCTATTGAAGAAATCCATACGCCGGGGGTTGATTTCTGGTGACTGGAGCAGATCTAGAGAAATGCCAATTCAATCGTGTGTGTTGAAGCTTCCATTGTTCATATGCAATGTGGTAGTTTCCCAAAACAGGGGGACCCCAATATAGATACCAAAATCCTGCAGACTATAATCCTTATTATGGGGACCCTGAAAAAGGTACCCCGAACTTTGCAAACCCCTACCCTATAAACCACAGTTTCCATTGCATTTTCCATTTTCTTTTTCCATTTGATTCTCCATCATTGGGGTTATAATACCCCTCATTATGGGAAACCCAACGCCAAACCCTAAACACTTGTTCATAGGCAGTCTTTGTTCGTGAGCAGACCTGGGGGCTTTGGTTTGTTTTTCCACTGGGCAGGTAGGGCAGGAGAACAGTCACTGGGCGTGGGGGCCTCAGAGAGGTGCTGTCATAGGGATTCCTCCAGGAATGATGGAAAACAAGATGGAAACTACTATAACATATTAAGGTTATATTATAGGGATAATGGAAAAGAAAATGGAAACTACTATATTATATTAACCCATATGAACTCACTGTAGATCTTCATGCCCTGGAGGGTTGTGAGCAAACTCGAGGACTCCCGACTGGGAAAGCCTCCCGGGCAGACCTGCGGCATCCAACACCTTGTAGACCTGCAGGTAGTTGTGCACACCAGTGCAAAATTCAGCAAGCAAGTTGCGATTGCCAAACTCCGGCATGGGAGGTCATCCTACTTTTGCTGCTGAGGCTTGACCTTTGAGGCAATTGGTAAGTCACCTGCAGACACTCCTCCCACCTTTCACTTCTTCCAGGGTGTTCATTTATTTAGCCCTTTCTTCGCATTGTTTCTTCGCATTGTGCCTAAGCATCGTTCCTCAGCAATTAGCAACAACGGTCACCAGGTTTTGGGGTCCATTATTTACCTGGTGTATGATTGCGCGGAAGTTTTTTCTGGGGAGAGTCGTGAACTTGGTTTCCCAATCTGTTTCCACTTGGTGCCCCAGTTGGCGCGTGGTTGATGTCCGCTTAGGTGTGCCGGTTGATGTTCTGGTTTCATTACTAGCAGGATACGACTAGTTCAGTGTCAGCGTGAGTAGGGGCACCTCTTTTTTTGCGACACAACGCTGATCGGAATCGTAAGTCAATACAAGGCCAACCTGCTTGAACTCTTAGCAGCTCCCCTGCTATTCTGGTCAGCATCCTTACATACTGCGAGACTTGTTTTGAGACAGATGCCGAATGAACAAGGTCATGAGACTACAGCCCGATGCCTTGTTACCCCATGAAACCCAAAGCCTAAACCCAAGCCCCAAAACCTTAATTCAAATCCTACACAGGACGACACTCCCCCAACAGGCCTAACGCCCCAGAAAAAAAGGGAAACCCCAAACAGGCCTTATCAAGACTGGAGTATGGATGTCCATGTTAGTTTGGGGGAGTGTAAGCCCTAAGCAGCTCGAAGGCTATACGCCTGTCTCGGAAGAAATGCATCCAGCTGAGATTGCAGTTTGGCGTTTGGACGATTTTGGGTTCTGCGTCTCAGGTTCTAGTTAGAGTGTAGGGTTTAGGCTTCAAGACTCATGTTTGGAGTGTAGGGTTCGGGTGGAGATCCATGGTCTAAGTGATCCAAAGCTCCAAGTAGGGTTAGGGTTTAGAGTTTAGGGCTTGCTTGGGTTATATCATGTGGAAACCCCCTCGTGAATCAGCCGTGAAACTGCAAGTATGCATGTGGGGTTTGCGGGAAAGGTATTGTCGCTGGCACGGTTGCTATAGTTATAAACGCTTCTCTCACACAACCACTTCTGCTTCCTCCACTGCTGCAAGTATGTTTGCCACCATATCTGCCAATCACCAATGAGCCAAAGTGATCCCCCTTGTGCTGTGGCTGGTAGGTGAGGGCATGTTGCTGAGGTCAAGTGGCCAAGTTTCAAGGGTATTGTAACCCTACACATTCTGTAGACTCTGCGATGATTTTGAGGGCAGAGCTGGATACTTCCCCTATCCTTCTATACCAGCCATACATTGTATCTTTATGAAGGGCATAATGCACACCCAACAAGCCCGGAGGGTGTTCGTTGAAGGCGATGATTTCGGAGTATTGCTTCTAGCACGTGGTTTAGGGATTTGGGGTTGTTCTTACTCTCGCTACAACAACAGTTGCTGGAACACTCTTTCTTTACGGTGACGGTGTGCCATGATCACCGTCCTGGAAACCGTGAACTCTGGTTGGAAGCACTAGTTATCCAATCATCCTTGATTGCTGGTCAAGGGGTCGTCCAGATGCACCCTTAGGTTGAAGGCTTCTATGAAGTCCTAAGCCTTGAACCCCAAATGCCTAGCCCTACACCATATCCCCAAGACCTACACCCTGATCCCTAAGAACCCTAGACCTTTAAACATCTGAGCCATAGTCTAAACTTCTTAAAGGCGATTGTGTAGGGGATTATTCCAGGTGTTATCGAGGGGGATACTCGGAGTTTAGACCTTAAACCCTAATCCCTAAACCCTAATCCCTAAACCCTGAACCCTAATCCCTAAACCCTGTCCCTAAACCCTAAGCCCTAAACACTTTTGAACCGATATCCTTGGCAGCTGCAGGCCTCACTTCTGGAGTCGGGTTGAAGGATGGAAGCAGCAGGAGCCGAATAGGGCCTAGGGTGTTGGGCTTTAGAGTTTGGGGTTGAGGGTTTAGGGTTTAGAATTTAGGGTTTAGAGTTTAGGGTTTTGGGTTCAGGGTTGAGTTTAGGGGGTTAAGGCATCAGGGTGCGCAGGTTGGGGTTTGGTGTAGGGATTATGAGGGTTTGGGGCTTAGCGTGTGGCTGGTAGGGTGGGGCTCAGGGTGTACGGACAGTGCTGTTGGTGTGTAAAAGAAGGTTTGCGTGCCATCATCTTGGTGAAAGCCGGTCTGCAACTCATGACACCTCGTCTCTTATTTGAAGACGTTAGTCAGGAACGAATGTATCATGGGGCCTACGTATTTGAGGATGAAATAAAGACATCCGTGCTAGCAATGAGGCTATTTTGGAGCTCATACACACTGCAAGCATATGTAGGCTTTATAAACGGGGATATGCGGTCCAACTGGAGTTGTTTAGAAAAATCGGATGTTGAATGCCAGATACTGGCAAGGTTCTGATCAGTTTAGCAGCAGGGGTAGAAGTCAGCAATCGCCACCAGGAATGAGGACTCTAGTTATGACAGTAGTATCAGTTATGACATGTAGGTGGCACTCGCCTTTATGACTAGAGCGGGAGAAAGAGCGCATCCGGGCTTTGGTTCCAACCCACTGACTCGCCTGGTGCCTTGGGAGACGTGAACGGCCCGACTGGCAGAGCGACTTGGAGGGTCGTTTCAGATCTTAAAGGGTTTAAGGACCTCAGTTGTGGACCTAAGTTCTCAAGACCTGCCAGGTAGCTGGAAAGGTAGGAAGGGTCAGGGGCCTGGGTCGGTGGTGCTGTCTTTGGATGCCTCGCTGTAGATATTTCGGGGTTCCCCACAATGAGGTGAACTCTTGCAAAGGTACCTGTAACAAAGATGAGCATTTTGGGATCTATACTTGCTGTTCCCCTTAATTTATGGAAACCACCATTTTCAGCCTTGCTCCAGCTGCGAGGCCCAGGGATGACGGTGCCTGCCTTCTTCTCAAAGAGAGTCAGGCGAAGTTGGGAAGTCCGTTGAGACCTAGGCATCAAAACACCCGCAGGATGCGTAGATGAGGAGAATCTTCAGTAGCCAAGATCTAGACCCCAAGTCTTAATATCCTCAAGCGATTTGAAGGGCCAGGGGCACTTACAGTGAAAGATGTATTGATATCCCCTGCAAGTAAAAGCCACGCATATAGTAAACGCAGTTACCTCTATTATGAACTTTACTTTCTGAGTCTCTCCAAGTAACCTTAAGCCCATAAGCCCCAGATAAACCCCAGCTTCCATTTCATTTTCCATTTTTTTGTGGTTCTCCATTATTGGGCCCCTGTATAAGATCCTATAAATCACATGTATCCCTAGACCCTAAGCCCTTTATCACTCTACTTAGTCCCCCAACCCTCCTAAACTCAAAACCTTAAAACCTAAACCCTAAACCCTAAAACCCTTAACCCTAACAAAACCCTAAAACCCTAAAATCCTAAACCCTCAGCCTTGCCAGCCCCGCGGGTGAAAGGGGTGCAAAAAACCCTCAACCTTAGACCTTTAACCCTGAAACCCTGAATCCCCTAAACCCTCCAAGTAGAAGTCCTCCACCTGAAGCCCTAAACCCTAAAACCCCAAACCCTGAAACCCTAAAACCCTGAAACCCTAAAACCTAGACCCTAAACCCTAAAACCCTGAAGCCCCAAACCCCTAAAACCTGAAGCCCTTGTGGCATCCTGGTCCACTGCAGGCCTCGCTCCTGGAGCCTGGCCACAGGATTGAAGCAGGAAGCCCCAAAAACAGGGCTCAGGGAATGTAGGGTGTTTTTTGGGGTTTTGGGTTTAGGGTGGAGGTTTTGGGGTTTTAGGGTTTCCAAAAAACAGGGCTTAGGGATGGGGATCTAGGGGCTGAGGGAGGGCCTGGAACTTAAGGTTTTAGGGTTTTAGGGTTTAGGTTTCGAGGTTCAGGGTGGACAGGGCTTGGGAGGTAGGGTTTGGGGCCCAAAGGGGCTGAGGGCTTACAGTTTCGGATGTAGGGCTTAAGGTTTGGGGGTTTGGGGTGCGCGGCTTGGGGCGCCGGGTTTGGGGCTGAGGGTTTGGGGCTGAGGGTTTGGGGCTGAGGGTTTGGGGCTGAGGGTGGGAGCGTTTGGGTACATTCCCTGCTTAGAGTTTCGTGCGTAGCTGCGACAAGGAGGATGTCCCTGCCCACGACAGTCCTAGAGCCTATTTTCGGAGTGCATGATAGCCTTACGCGCAACAAGCTATCATGGACTCCAAGCTGGTACTTGGTTAGAAGGAGCTCCCTATTCAGGGGCAGACTCCTGAGAGCGCGCAGGAAATAGTGGTCGCATTCAAACCCCTAGAGAGGGTAGTTTGTAGCTTGGAAGCCAGTTACCATTCACAGGACGAACACAAGGTGCTGAGATACAGGACACTCAGAGGTTTCTGCCTGGAAGCTTCTCAAATTGATGCGACATATCCCCTTAGGGGCGCTCTTCAACCCCTTCACCCCAAGGATCTTTTCAGGAAGCCTGCTTTCAAAACTGAAGCGGTTTTGGCGCAAAAGAAGGCAATCCCAAACCGTTGTCGCCATTATTGTCGTTATGAGTTTTCGGATAATGACAGCTATTTATCATTTCAGAATAGGTATTCAAATTCTTGCTCCCATGGAAACTTGTGTGCACCCTCATCTTGATGAGCACCCAGACGTAAACTTGATCTCCGAGGCATAGAAAGTACCTGAAAAGGATTTAAAAAAGCGAAGCACTAAACCCAAAAACGCTAAACCCTATAACCCTATCTATGAACCCTATGGACCCTTTCGAGCCCTATGGACCCTATGAACCCCATGAACCCTATGGACCCTATGGACCCTAAAACCTCCTTCCCGAGGTACCCAGCCGTCAGCAACGGCATCCGTGCGGCTTCCGTCAGAGCCCGAGCTTGAGCCGTTTGCAGATTGAGGTTAGGATCCTATGGTCCATGTTTAGTTGCCGTTATATATTTGTATATATATATATATGTATAATATGGTTATATATATATATATAGTATGTGTATATATATATATATGTATATGTATATGTATATGTATATGTATATATATATATATGTATATGTGTGTGTATATA